AAAAAAAAAAAAAAAAAAAAAAAACCCAACCCAGAAGACAGTGGAATAATACTTAAGTATTAATTACTGAAAGAGAATGACTTTGTACTTGAAACATTAAGTTATCATCTCAGTGTAAGGGTGTAATAAAGATATTCTGGGGTACATAAGAGTTTGAAATCACTCTTGGAGGCAGTGTTCAAATAAAGCAGACCCAAACATAGGAGACATTACAGGAGAAAAAAGACACCAATAACGACAGAGTTTACTTTTGCCAGAAAACAATGACTAAAGAAACATACAACTTGCAATCTACATAACAATCTAGAACTAAAATTCTAGATAACACTAGCACAACGGAGAGGGGGAGGGGGAGAAAATGCTGAGACATCTATCTGGTCAGAAGGAAGACACAGACCAAGATAAGGTTAAGAAATCAATCCAAAAAATGAGTAGGAAGGGGTCCAAGGGCAGCCACAGTAAGAACCCAAACAGAACATACTACAAAAACCAGCAGAAAGAGCTGCCCAGTGGAAACAGGAAAAGAAAAAAAATAATAAATGCAAAAGACTACACAGTAAATGGAAAATATGAAATGAGGTGACAAAATGTACTGATTTAACAGTTAAGTACAATTAGTCTTAATAACAGGAATCACAACTGCAATAATCATACAATAAATACTTTCACAATAAGTGTAAATGGGTCAAACTCACCAATTAAAAGACAGTGTCAAACTGGGTTTAAAAGAAAAAATTCAACAATAGGTGGTCTGTTAGACAAAACGCTTTAAACAAAGAAACATCAATAGACTGGAAATAAGAGGGTGGATAAAAAGCAAGCACAAACCAAAAGAAAGCTGGAGTTACTGGTCCTATTTTCTGACAGAATAGTAGTGTTGGTAAAAGCAACAATAGAACAAGAATATAGAACCAATGTAAATACATATGAACCTAAAAATAAACAGGTAAAATACGAAAAGCCAGGAATGACAGAGGCACTTGGGAAAATCAATAAAACAACCTCTTCAACCTAAGGTTTTAGTGCGTCCCTTCAGATCTGAATCATGCCATTAATTAACATGGAATTCTACATGCACCAAACAGAAACCATAGGTGAAACTTTTTTTTAACGATCACTTACTGTTATCCGGTTCTGAGCAAAAAACAGAAGCAGAATGAGGTCTACAGGCCCAATGCCATCTACGTGAATTACAAACATGCCTCCACAGAGTAGTAGTGCACATTTTACTTTAACTAGACACATGGGCTGGCACACCTGAAGTTAGAGAGGCCACCGATGGGAGAGCGGGGGGGGGGGGGGGGGGGGGGGGACAGGTACAACACAGGACAGCATGGCCCTCATGAGCCAGCGCTGTGCGATGCGGAGAGGCAGAGAGGGTCATGAGTTCCTCTGGACAGTCTAAGGGCTGTGTGGCCACATCTCTGCAACCCCTCACAAGACCCAAGTCCTCGCCCTGCCCCCATACCCCAGGTGTGGTCTGGGAGACAGCCTTACAGACGGTCAGGGGTAAATTCAGAAAACACAAGGGCAGTGGAGGCGTTTGGAGGGAAAAGCAGCAGGTCCGGCCCAGTGGAAACTGAGCCTCTGAAGACTGAGAGAGGCTCCCTCTGGAAATAAACCCGATTTCAAAGGTAGAAATCAGGTACAAAAGTGGATATTCAGAATGGGAAAAGGAATCACGAATTTCAAAAAGCATCCAAAATATCTGGAAAATAGTATTTTTTTTTTTAACGTTTATTTATTTTTGGGACAGAGAGAGA